CTGGCCAGCTCGGAAGGCGCTGGTCTTTGACAGGACAGCACAGGAAATCTGTACGGGTTTCGCCTCACCTCTCCCCCCCGTAAAACGTAAAGAAACTCCCCTTGCGTTGCAAGCCCCGAAGCTGGTGCCCGGATTGCTGGCTGCGAGTTGTGCGCGTTTGGCTTCAGACTAGTTTGAGCAGAGCAGAGCGTTGCTGCCCTTAAGGAAAGGAATTTCTGCACCGATCCCGCTTTGCTGATTTGCCTGTCCTCTTCAAAGAGGCATCTCGCAAGGGCTAACACGCCAAATCAGCGCATTTCGCCGAGTGTTACAGCTCACTTATACCTTTAAGTAGGGGGGAGCTCGGGCAATTTAAAGAAGAAAGCTGAGAGAGACCGTTTTAGCATCTTCAGAATGGCGCGTTTCGGTTGAACAATGTGTCTGATCGAGAATCACTTGTCCAGCACCTGCTTCCTAGTGACACTGCTTCTGCCTCCCGCAGGAGAGGACAACCCCCAAAACTCCAGGGGAACGAGAGCCCTCTGCCCTGAGAGACCGGGGGCTCAGGCTCCTTCCGCTACGAAACGGGTTTCTAAATTAGAGCGCCCATCATTTCCATCTTGCTTTCATTTGGCAAGCATTCTCTGGGCAAAAATATTTTGATCCAAAGTCTAAAAAAATTGCTAAACTCTTTAATTTCTCTTTATTCCAAGAGGTCGTCATGGTTAAAATTCCTGTGTTTGCATCCTTCCAAAATTATTTTGGGTTATAGCCTGGCATTTTAAAGAGAACAGTGCACGATCTTTTACAATTATAATTAAAATACCGTTCAAGATATATGCTTAAATGTGAATGTTTTCCTTTTACGACCTCTCCTTTTAGGACATGCATTTTTACCTTACCCTGGACCAGCAAAGCGTAGCCTTGCACAGTGGAGTGTAACGAATTTGAAGGAATTCTTATAGTTGAACATGTTTTTTTGAAAAATCTTAAATGGCAATTTACACGGTATATTTTCACGGCCAGAGGAACCAGTGCTTTCATCTGGAAATAAGAAAAAAAAATCCGATAAACATTTTGATGCAAAGACTTGATTTCGGTGCAGATTAAGCATCAGGAAAGTGAGCTGCAGGACAGTAACATGCACGGACAGGTTTTGCAATGATATTAGCCTCATTTCTTCTTCCCCCTTCCCTTATTTCACTAGTGAGTGAATCAGTAAGGATGACTTCAGAAATGCCTGCGTTTTGTACAGTACACCTTTTTTGTACTGTACGCCTTTCCTCTATATCTTTTTCCAAAAAAAGCGATGTTCCTTCAGGAGCTGCTTTTAAAGGCGTTCGGGTAAAAAAAAAAATATTTTTAAAGCGAAGAGCCTGCAACTGAAACTAGGTTTCCCCAGGAAAGGAGCTACCAGAGTGTATTGGGCAGACCATATGCCTCCTTAGGTCTAGCCGGAATCAGTGTTTACCTGAGCATAGAGAGCGTTTGCGGGTGGCGCCACAGGAGGCACAACGGGTCCGCTCCCGCGGGCGAGCGGCGGCCGGGCCGGGCTCGGGGCGA